GAGCCTTTTTGTTCAGGTCATCTCCATTTTTGAATAATTATGACTACATCATTAACTTCTCCTCGTGCATTTTTCTAGTTACTCCAATATTCGTTTGCTTCTTCCTTCTGTTGGGATCCTAAGAAGGGTTGGGACTCAAACCTACCTAATTGTTGCATATCCCATTCAAACTTTAATCACAAACCGAAATGAAAAAGAATTGTTTGCACTGTTGAATTGCACTTCTTCCTTTTTGTTATTTATGCAAGCAAGCACCATGTGACATCAAATGGTCCATCACAGAAATGTGACCTTTCACAAATTTTAAAAGTCACTTTTAACTGAACTGCCATTTTTTCACACAGGATCTGAATTTTGACCAAATTCATTTATTCAGCCATGCTCACTTATCTACGTGAATTATACTTGTCAAACTAACCGCATAAACCTTCCTGTAAAAGCTGTTCAGTTAATTTGGTATATACTTGTTAAGCTTTTAAAGTGGTGTAGCTTTTGGTCAGCTGGTTATAGTAATTTCTTAATTGCCCTGAAACTTTTGTCATATTCAGGTGTTTATGCGGGTGATCCTTCAAAACTGAGTATGAAAGCAGCATTCGGAAAAGTTTGGCAGCTAGAGCAAAATGGAGGTAGTATCATTGGTGGTGCCATTAAAGCAATCCAGGGGAGGAATCATGCCCTTAAGCCACCTCGAGATCCGTAATAATATATTTGTTTCTTTGAAGTTATTTTATGATTTAACTCGTAAAGTTTATTATCAATGCCCTAATTTTAGTTTTTCAAAAGGCGTCTTCCGAAACCAAAGGGCCAAACAGTTGGATCTTTTAGGAAGGGACTTGGTATGTTGCCGGATGCAATTTCTACAAGGTACTTTCTTTCAACAAAGGATAAATACTCTTACTCTAGTTGGATGGTCATCCTTTTTTGTTGGCAAGGAGAGAACACACGTGTTGTATTTCACAGCTATGATGTACTGTATTCTATCGTGTTGGCAGGTTGGGCAGCAAAGTAAAATTATCTTGGAAGCTTTCAAGTATCAGTAAATTGGATAGAGGGTACACTTTGACCTATGAAACACCAGAAGGATTGGTTTCAGTTCTGAGCAGAAGTGTTGTGATGACTGTTCCATCCTATGTAGCAAGTGGTTTATTGCGACCTCTATCTGTATGCTTCTGCCCTACATGTTTCTTATCTTTACTGCCACTTGTTTGACAGTTAAATCTTGATTTTGAGGCATTTACAGTTGGTGGTTGGTCAAAGTTTTTTTCTAATAGTGGTGATTTACAAGACAAATCAATGGGTTTCTCATCTTGTTTCTTTTTTGCAGGCTGCTGCTGCAGATGCACTATCAAAATTTTATTACCCACCAGTTGCAGCAGTTTCTATTTCATATCCAAAAGAAGCAATTCGGACTGATTGCTTGATAGATGGTGAACTGAAGGGCTTTGGTCAATTGCATCCTCGTAGCCAAGGGCTGAAAACTTTAGGTAGATTCGATTTGGTTTAGGAATTCATTATCTATGCCTATAACTATGCTTGACATCAGCGATCACCATTTCTTGCTGATTTTTTCCATGGGTTTTCTTGGGTTTTGCAGGAACTATATACAGCTCATCACTCTTTCCTAATCGTGCACCACCTGGAAGGGTTTTGCTCTTGAACTATATTGGAGGTGCCACCAATCCTGGAATTTTGTCAGAGGTAAGACCATTGCCATAGGATATATGATTTTGTGGTGGGAAAAATCCATGAATGTGATGATAAGGCGGGTGATATAGCATTTAAGTGGATTGATGGTTCTCATAAACTGTCATGGAGGTTGTAAAATGTACTTCAGTTTATATATGGCACCCTAAAAGAAGACCCCACTTTATCCAATATCCTGAGTCCTTTTTTGTAATTACCTTCAGTAACTATCCGGTGAACCTTTCATTTTGGGCGTCAACCTAAATCCTACCATAATTTCATATACTTGATTAGTCAAGCAATCATGCATGAATCTTGTATCTTCATACAAGTCCCAGTCAGCCATGTGTGCAGAAACATGTGTTTTGTCCTTGGGTAGCAGGCTTTGTTTTCCAAGGTATTGTGCCATTGCTGCTTCTGGTCTGTCTTCATGTCCATGTGCACTTGCATATACATTTAAAATCACATTCTCGTTATTTGAACAGCGCGCATGGATATGTAATTCACATTCTCATTTTTTTGCTTCCAAGGCTTTGATTTTTTTCTTCTTCTTTTAACTCTTTTCTAAAAAAATAAAACACGGACAGATGGAGAGCAAGCTTGTTGAAGCAGTTGATCAAGATCTGAGAAAAGTCCTCCTAAACCGTAATGCTAAGGAGCCTCTTGTATTGGGTGTGAAAGTATGGCCACAAGCTATTCCACAGTTCTTGGTTGGTCATTTTGATGTCCTTGATGCTGCAAAGGCCGGTCTAAGTGATACTGGGACCCAAGGGTTGTTTCTTGGCGGCAACTATGTCACTGGTGTAGCCTTGGGTCGATGTGTTGAGGGTGCTTATGATGTCGCGGCTGAGGTGGCTAATTTTTTATCAAAATATGCTTACAAATAGTTCAATTAACGGTGATTCTGCAATGTATCCTGTAGAAGTGCAATGTTAGGAAGTGGAAGTTAAGATGTTCCTTTGGACTTCCCGGGCAGCCTGGCTTTGCAGATAGAGTTCCTTCTCCTTTTTGGTATTGTATTTTGTCTATTAGTTTTACTTGGTACTTGTGACTTGTGAGTTGTAATAACTTTTGCTTTGGTCCACCTACACTCTTCTAGTTCTATCTAGCATCTACTTACTCACACCCACACTTGGAAAATTCTTGTCTTTATTTCTTTCTTTGGTTTGATGACGAGGCTTAGAGAAGGGGGACGATTGGCCATAGTCTATCGATGGGTATTCCACTTCCCTTTAAACATCAGGCGCCTCCAAGGTGAAGGTTTACCATCACACTAAAGTTGTTATTGTCATTAGCTTTAGGCACCTTTGCAGCGTGTGCATACTTGAGGAGACAAACTTATTTTGAGATGTCGTTGTGACGGTATCTTAAAACTATCTTGCATTGTCTTGCACTATAACTTTCACGTAGCAATGTTTGATTGGTTTGAAATACTGTGCAATGACCTTCCTATTGTACGGAAGCACTTCTTCTAGTTGAGATCAAGGAGTTGGCAAAACACCATTCAATGTATTATATTTTATTTTTAAAATATTAATTTAACAAACATTGTGTTTAAAAAATAATAAATTATTAATTGATGTAGCAAATTATAAAGTTGCTGTAACTCAGGTAATTCATAATATATGTATTTGTATATTTTTTTTATATACAAAAGAAGAAAGAAATTAAATTGATGCAACGATACCTTCTTGTTATTATGATGGCATGGGTTGGGGTGGTGGGGAGCATGAAAATGCACTTTTGCCCTTTTCCCTTGTTTTCTAATTCGTCAATTCTTGTTTAGGTCTGTAAGAATTAAGAAAGAAAGATATTCATGTTCCCTTCCTCTCTGGGCCTTTCGGCATCGGCATCGGCATCGGTCTCGGTCGTGATAAAAACATGGAAAATCTAATGCAACCCAACATATCAAGAAAAAACATGGTGAAAATTAATTTGGCAAAAGTAAAAGTGAAAGTGGTGCACGAAATCTAACACAAGAATCATGATTACACAGTTTATGCAGGGGGAATATAAATATGCAGGGGGAATATAAATATAATGGAGAAGCTGCAAATTTAATTTATTCAAAGCAAGAAGAATTCGAATTTGACTGCACTACAGCAGTATAGCTAATACTAGTAATTAGTGTCTTTTCTTTGTCCCATTCTTTCCCTAATTCCTAGCGTGAATATAGTGTGACTACGATTCCTACGTCCTATAATGTGATGACAAAGGTGATTAACACTTAAATGCTTCAATTTCATTTCAAAGATTGTTTAGAGTGTTGATAGCAGCTTAAAGTATATATTCAAATCTACTAGTTAACCAATATTAGTGAATTTGATACCAGAGCTCTTATTGATTGAGAGTGCATCCCCATAATCATCGCTAATTCGTTGGTTAAGTATGTACATCCAAAATACAGTTCAATAATTACTTTATATTTCTTAGTTAAGGAAAGAAATATACTTGTAACAATAATGTAACAATGAGAACATTTGAAGCCAACCACGCACAAATCAAAAATGGTGTTGCATGTTTGAGTTTGTTGCGGATTATTCAATGAAACAACTCAAAACTGCAACATATGTAATGATTTGTATAGCGAGAAGGATGTTTCTAGTTTTCACCTCAAAGCTGTGAACTGGATACATAAAAGGTAAAGACAAAAAATACAACTTTTTGTTTGTTCTTCTGTATATTTAATATACATATAATATATTCACATGCATGTTCAACATTGCATGTGCATTCATCAAGTTGAAATGTAATTATTTTGATACATTACATACCTAATAAAGCGGATTTTGAAACGTGTACTAGTTGTCGGCTGGGCTGAGAGCATCCGAGTTCTCGGGTCGACACTCCACACTTACCTAGTAGTGTCACTGTATCAAATCATAGAAAACATATCCATTTAGATTTTGATAAATATTCTTTGTCCCTCCAAAATTCAATCCATAAAAACCATACATATAAACATACACAAAGTTGGTGGGCAAGAGCAAGGGCAATGGCAATGACGATGCCGTGGCTTCATCAATGATTTTGCTAAAAGCGATGAGCAGAGGCAGCAGCAGCACACCTATAACTAACTACAAGCACTACTTGTTCTTCATTGTCGTCCTCCTTGTCACACTATCACTCACGGTTGTCAAAACAGTTAAAACAGTTGAAGAGAGATCTCACCACAGAACTTAAGCTCGGGCTTAGCTTATCACCCTCTGCAGCCTCTCAACAAGTACAATACAAGCCAACACAAGCCCTTTGTCTGAGTCTGCCGCAAGTTGCATATTACTAAGTCCATTCCATTCCATATTAATAACTAATATTAATTAGTAGCCACTGTCGCTGGCCTTATATGTAATAATATTAGGGGGAGAGCATCGGACAAGAATTTAATTAAGCCAGTTATTCAGAAGATGAATGCAGCGACAGCAGATGATGATTACAATGATATTGAGAACAGCAGCAGCAGCAGGAACACAAGAAGAAGACTGTATGTCAAGGTTTACATGGAAGGGCATGCCATTGGAAGAAAGCTGGACCTATTAGCCCATCATGGCTTTCATGACACGATATGGACACTCCCAACATATGTTCAACACCAACATTCTCTGTACTTACCTACCTCTAACTTCATTCTACTTATATATACATATTGTATAACAAAAATTAACAATAACAGGGGGAGATGATGTGGACAGAGTGCACTCTGGTCATTACGAACTTCATGTTTTGACATATGAGGACGAGGAAGGGGATTGGCTCATAGTCGGTGATGTTCCTTGGAAGTAAGTCTATTTCATCAATTCATTATCTCAATCCATATTCTTAATCGCATCCTAACTCCCACATAGTTTTCAGTCACAATATTTCCTGTCCTTGTGCTTAATTTAATTCTACATCAATTTTATGCTTGCAGGATGTTCTTGTCCGCAGCGAAAAGATTGAAGATCACTAGGACTTTTCCATGATGATTTTCAAATAGTCTATCTTAATCTTACCTACAAGGACAAACTTTAGAGCCAGTGTAGCCTGCAGTTTTGAAAATAGGGTGGGAAGCTAAGTGCAGGAGTGACAATGGAGTTACTGGTAGGGTGTTGGGATGGTGCTGGGCCTTAGAATGTGCGTTTTTGAGGCCAAGTGTGGCCTCTCTATTTGTTATAGTGAAATGCTACGAGCAGTCAACCACACCCGCATGCATCTATCGTTTATCAAATTTCAATCCTTGACGAGAGAGAGATTGTGTATGATAATGATGTTTCACAAGTACAGAAGAACTGTAGTCTGAGCAAAACTAGACCTAGGAGTGGTACCGTATAAGGCACGCAACAAAAAATACAAGACTCTTCAGCAAGCTGATAAGTCCTATAAAAACAATATGTGCTTATATATGCAGTTAGGCACACTTTTAATCAGTAAGTAATAGTCTCATCAGTGGCATATTTGCAGAAGCAGCTACCTAAAAATGAGGACAACTTACAGATAAAGGCAGATGCAAAATTATTCACAACTTATCAAACTCAGGTATCCCTCCCTGTTTACGATCAATCTTTCTTTAGCATGGTTGTTATACTAGTTATCATTGTCATCAGGGTTATTAAAAAAAAAAAAAAAAAATCAACTGTTTCTCACCTGATGTTCCTTTTGATCCTTACCAGGTAGATTCGGTAGTTTCTGAATCCTTAAGTACGGAATTGCAGTAACGGTGGTATGATGAAGATCCGGAAAAACGGCTAAACAGATCAGCATCACCCAGGTTACTAAGATGCACGAAAAATCATATGAAACAGGCTGATACTTTTCATTCCCACAAAATATTCATTTATCTTAACCAAAGAGTACAAAAATAATATGATTCTGTTACAGAAGGCAGTAGAGGAATATAACACTTGAAGTTGATGCCTTTGTCTCCCACAGAAAACTTCTCTGAACCTCGAGTAAGAGGAAAATTGGTAGAGGCCTGGAGTTCTCCTTTGAGCAGGATCAAACATATATAGTATTTCAGGCCAAAAACAAATAACGAACCCTATCAGGATATATTTGAGACCGGAGTCCACAGATTCATTCATTTACCAGCGCTCCCTTGGTTGACCATCTGGCAACAATGGAACAAGCACTTTTCCATTATTCTCTCTCAAACTGCCCTCCTGTTTGACTGGTTTGCTCACTCCAATAGTCGGTGTTTTCCCATCTTCCTCAAAATCTGGGGGTGTATCATCATCTTCATCACTCCAATCATCTTCATCATCATCTTCGTCATCGTTGAACTCATCATCATCCCCAGACCACTCCTCTCCTTCCTCAAGAGTTCCATCTTTTGCCTCATCACTTTCTTCTGCACCATCTGCCTCAGTTCTGGGAGCACCCCGTCTAGGAAACCGAGGAACAGAAATAATAGATCGAAGCTTCTCCTTTATGATCAACAAACGATCCTTGTCTATCAATTGAGAATCACGATATGCTTCCCTAAGGAAAACAGAATCTCTATCTCCTTTCAAGGACACATAAAACATATCGGGGTGCCTAATCAGCATACCCCTCACCTGTTGAGAGAACTTAAACTCTTCTCGAAAATGAGTAAGGTGATCCACAAGAGTTCTCTTCTCCACAGTAAGACTCAAAATCTCATGAACAACCGCACAAGCATGTTTCTCTTTCTCAATAGTACCTGATCTCAGTCCCGAGAAATCAGAGTAAGGGGATATATAAGGTATGTCTCTAAACATGCATATCCTCCTCATCTCACCCTTTGAAAGATTGAGGCCCTTTGGCAGCTTTAGTCTGTTGAACTTGATAGGCCTATCTATAATCAAATCCTTCTCTTCAATCTCTCTAACCCGGTTTTCCTCTTCAGACAACTCAGCTGCTGAGACTGCAAGTTCAGGGTCCCAATGAGTTAATTCTAATGCCGGACCTCTCGCAGTTGCAACTACTTTAAAGAACTGTGGGTACCGGTGACAAATAGTGTCACGAAACTCCTGGGGAAGCCCTAAATCATTTCTCAAATGGGCAATCTTTTCCAACAGAATCCGCTTATCCAACGACATCATCAACAATTTCCTCAACTTGACCACCAGCAGGTCTTCCATCTCATTCCTAACCTTCAACTCCTCAAAATAAAGCCTTTCGGCTTCGGGAGTCAGTTTAAATTGCAAGGAATAAACCCCTTCTTCAACAATCTCAAACACGGCTGGGAATTTCTTTAAAAGGGCAATGAAACGGCGCTTTTTTTGCAGACCCAATTCTCTCCTGTACCTACCTAACTCTCTAAGCGACATAACTCTATCAGGTTGGCTGACTAAAATCTTGCGTATCTTGAGAACCAGCTTCAGCTTCTTATCCTTTTGAATGACGTTGTCAAAGGGAAGTTCTTTCCTTCTCTTGACAGCAGCAGCACATATTGGGCCAAATGGGACATGGGTGGTTTTGGCGAGGTTACCCCAAGCAGCATCTCTCTCGTGTAAAACTAAACCATTTCCCCAGAACTGGGATTTTTGGGAGAGCGAGAAATGGGGGGTTTTGAGAGATTGCTTGGGTTTGAGAAGAAAAGGAGATTTGGTGCAAGAGGAGGAGGAGAGAAACAAGGGCAAAGAAAGGGACTTGGTGGAAGAAAGAGACAGCTTAAGTTCCATCATTTGTTGAGCTCTCTAGTATAATATTACTCACAAGATTGATTTTGATTGATGATTACAAGAGAAAACATAACATAATCCAGAGATTAAGAAGATGAAGCTATGAATTTTACAGTGAAGTGACTCACCTGGATATAACTGGATAATTTGGAGACGAAGTGAACAAGATAGAAAGGAGAGGAGAGGAGAGGAGAGGGCAAGGCTGCGCATGCGGCGGTTTAGTCTGGAGCAAAACTAAAGCAGAGACGAGCTCGGATAAGGGAGGGAGGGGTACAATTGTAACAATCCCGTGATTGAGAGCTCTGCACTTGTAAGTAAATTTTAGCCGTTCACACAATCGAACGGCTCTCAGGTTTCCACGTCAACTTAGGTAAGTGCCGTTTTGCTTTGCGGCTTTTGGCTCTTTCCCTCTCCCGTCAATATTATTATCACTACTTGATGACATTTTCAGTTGATTTACTGACTCTCTGGTGCTTGCTAAACATGGTTGGTGATAATCTGGTCACAACTCTCGCCAGTCATTAGCTTGTCACGACCCTTCCTTGATTACTTGCCAATTTTGCTGCCATTCTCAACCTATGATATCAGATCAATTCAAACTAGCAATTGGTGTAATTTGATAAGGAACACCCTCGCTTAATGTCATGTTCAAATCCCCATCCAGTTTCTTCCAATCTATTTATAAGTCTTACCATTTCTTAATTGTTAGCGTCATTGGACTATATTTTGCATGGGCATGGAGATATGTCAGACATGTTTTATGTGCCCTGCTGCTGCAATACGAGTCTGCTGTTGGACGCATAGCATCCGCCAAAGAAATTGGTATCCTTATTTTTATAATGACACTCCATTATTGAGTGATTAATTACACCGTATTTTAATTTCATCGAATCTGAAATAGATTCACAGAGAAATAAAGTAGAGGAGAGAAATCCATCAAGCTAAGATACTAAGCAGTCCTAAGAAAATTCCAAATACAGTTAATTAAAAGGACTTTTAATTTTCACAGTCTAAGTTAAGTCCAGTATCGACATTCAGCAGTCCACCATATCTGTTGAAATAACCAATCCGATCATTCAGTCGTGATTCGTTGGGTATTCCACACTCTAGTCCACCGTTGATGTTAATTAGTCACCAGCCCAAATCCAACAGTCCGATTGGCCGCAACGTCAGCTTCTGTGGGTACATACAGTCCAAAAATGACGTCATGAGAAGAAGGCTTCGGCTTTTGCTCTGTCATCCAGAACCATAGAGCCGTTTTCAGCGCTATCATGGAATTGTTTGCCACTACTTCAGGATTCCTCAGCCCATCAAACCCCAACGCCTTACCAGCAGGTCCATAATTATAGTTCCTAATCAATTACCAAGTTAGATTAATTTTAAAATTTTCAACTTGTCAAAACGTTATAATATATACTTGTCGATACAGTATCGTAACCAATTTATTACTGGAGGATTTGGACTATGACGTTCATTGTCTGCCAATATAAACTAACAATTGTCTGCTGGTAACTGTATATTTATATATATAACTGTGAATGTGATGAATCAAGTTAACTTACCAAGATAGTTGAATTGGGCCTCTTCCCTTGTAGGACTTGCCCGGAGAGCAAGGCCATTCCTTGTTGGTCGAGTCACATCAGTAGCTCTGGGGACTGACTTCCTCTTTGAAGCACAGTCCCCGTGCATATGGTCCATCAGGGGCAGTAGCCCACCCACCTGTTGTCTCGTGAGAGATCTGAGCAAGAAAGGTGGCAATCTCACGCTTGCGCGTGGTTAAACTTCCGGTGGTGCCAAATCCGGGGAAGGATTTGGAGGCTTTGATGAAAGAGCCGTAGGTACAGAAGTCTTTGGCAGGGCATGCGGTGTCGTCCTTGTGCAGAAACAAGAGATGAAATTTGATGGCAATGCAAAAGAAGGCGAATGAGACGAGGAAGAAGGAAGAGGGTAAGTCGAAGGAGAGTAGTGCCATGGATGAGGACTTGAGGATTTTGGTGCAGGTGCATGTCCCTGTGAATTTGCTTGAGTACATACATATAATGTATGGAAGATGAGCAAACTAGGCCTTTTTATATAACGAGATGTCACCAATTGATAATAAGCACATTTATCAACGATTAAGTAATAATTCAATTACCAACTTCTATGTCATTTAGTTTATAAACTTTAGTCTTCCTAACATTACTCTTACAATTGTAATTTCATTTTTGAATTTTGTAATGGAAAGGCAACGAAGGAAGAAGAGGAAAGAGTCAATGGTACGTAGTGAATTCGGATCCTCATCAAAAGGATCCGGAGAGGATCCTGTTGGGTATGGAATCCGGATCCTCTTTGTGAGGCTCGCAGAAATCCATGAATCATGTCCATTCATTGTACATCTGCGGTAAAAAATTATTTTAAATATTTTTATTTAAAATTAAACACAAACAATGTTTGACAAAAACTGATCGCACGATATACGATGAACCAATACAATTTACGAATTCTTAGGATCATCACCAAAAAGATCCGGAGGATCCTGTTAGGTATGCGGTGGGATTACATTTAAGCAAGGGACAAGTAAACTCAGAGGTCAAAAATTAAGTCTCATGTGATGGCCTAGGCCTAGTTAACTGTTAACGGGCAGGAATATTTCTTTGTTCGCCTGGTATATTGGCATGGTTGACAATAATACAGCCACTTCTCATTTGGAAGTCCTTTTGACAATTTGTGTACGTCTTATTAACTCAATACGAAATAACACAAAAATAGCAGGTTTTGGGTTCATATATTACAAGTTGGATTGTAATTGGGTCATCTGTTAAGACCACGTTAACGAGTTGGGTTGTTATTGGGACATCAGTTAAGAATTTGAAACTATTCGGTTCATTATTTGGTCATGCATTAAAAACCCCGATTAGATATCATTTGTTAGTTCTAAACACTAGTCATGGCAATTTTTTACATGACGTGTTAACCTGAGACGAAACAACACGACCCGCTAATGAATCGAATCGTTCTCAAATCACCTATTAGGAATTCGTTATGATAACGAGTTTAACACGACACAACCCGTTATGATAACAAATATGACACGAACAAAAAAACGCGACTTGTTTGACCGACCTAATTAGAAGTGTCAGCACTCTCTCTGCATATTACACAAAACTACCTTACCTATGAGTCGAATCACAATCTCATACCTCATGTTTTAAACATTGCAATGTCATACATCAACTTATAAATTGGTTACAATGTTAGACCTCCGTTAAATTTTATGTCAATTTGGCTGTTAAATGATGACGTAGAAAGAGTAGGACCCATTCTTTTGCCAATTAGAATTAAAAAAAATTAAGAATTTTTTATTTAACAATTAAAATTAAATTTAATGAATAGTGTCCTACCACTAAGCTTAGCAACTCATCTCATCACCACTGTGCATTCTCCTTCCTTGTCCTCCAAAACTAGCGATTCCAACTCTCTCTGCTCCCACACCACCCTCACCTTCATAATTAAGGCGAAGACGGCTTCTTCTACCTCTGCTGATTTTTTCGTCTAGGAGTAGGAGGACATAAAATTAAACCTAATCGGGGTCCTGTGTTCCATTCTCTCTCACTGATCCAGATTTGTTCCTGGCTCGATTCGTTGGGATTTCGTCCATCCCGTTGTCAATTCGTTGAGATTTGTGTTCCCACAACTTGCCACAGTCACCACCCTCAACACCCCCCCCCCCGAACCACCACTTGTCTCTACTCTCACTCCAAAACCCTTCTTCATTTCTCCAAAACCTTTCACAGTCACAGTCTCCAACAAGTCTTCTACCCAGTCCATCGGCACCCAACCCATTCCCAGAAGCCCATCATCACCCACATTAAGCATATCAGGAACTTCTGCATCATCGCCCATATCAGGTCCCCATTGTGGAGAAGATGCAGGTTTGTGATTGGTTGCAAACGAGATGCGGCTGTGGTGGAAAATGGTGGCAGTGGGATGAATTGGAGCAAGAAGACGAGTAAAGTTGGTGGTGGTGAGAGGGGATGAAGGAGATGGGATTCTAGGAATAGGAAGGAGATGGGATTTTGGGGATAGGTGAAGGGGGTGAAGAGGGCTGATGAGGTTTTTTTTTTTTTTTTTAATCTTTACTAATTTCTACTAATTAATAAAACACTCATTGTCAACCAAAACTTTATGAAATTACCAGTTTAACCCTCTAGTTAAAACATAACATGAATAAGAAATATGGGGCAGAAATGTAATTTTACACAATCAAATTTTGCAGTTTTTTTTCAAATCCTTAGCTGAATTGAGAGCATGTTCTGGAGTTTGGAAATATTTGAACTAGTCAATGTAAGTCCTTTGGGAACTTTCATATAAATTTCCGTATCAAGATCTCCGTAGAGGTATGTGGTTACTATGTAACATCCCACATCGCCCAGGGGAGTGGATCATGTAAACCTTTTATATATATATATATATATATATATATATATATATATTCTCATCTCTACCTAGCACGAGGCCTTTTGGGAGCTCACTAGCTTCGGGTTCTGTAGGAACTAAGTTAAGCGAGTTTGCACGAGAGCAATCCTAGGATGGGTGGCCCACTGGGAAGTTCTCGTGTGAGTTCCCAGAAACAAAACCTTGAGGGCGTGGTCGGGGCCCAAAGTGGACAATATTGTGCTACAGTGCTAGGTAGAGATGTGAATATACATATAAGGCTTACAAGATCTACTCCCCAGGGTAATGTAAGATGTTACAATCCACCCCCCTTAAGGGCCCGACACCCTCGTCGACACACTTTCGGCCATGGATTGGCTCTAATACCAAATTGTCACATCCCAACCCGGGCCCCCCCACATCCTGGGCTCGACTTTTGCATGAGAGCAATCCTAGGATGGGTGGCCCACTGGGAAGTTCTCGTGTGAGTTCCCAAAAACAAAATCGTGAGGGCGTGGTCGAGGCCCAAAGTGGACAATATCGTGCTACGGTGGAGTCGAGCCCAGGATGTGGGGGGCCCGGGTTGGGATGTGACAATTTGGTATTAGAGCCAATCCATGGCCGAAAGTGTGTCGATGAGGGCGTCGGGCCCTTAAGGGGGGTGGAGTGTAACATCCTACATCATCCTGGGGAGTAGATCCTGTAAGCCTTATATGTATATTCCCATCTCTACCTAGCACCGTAGCACGATATTATCCGACATCGACCACGCCCTCACGATTTTGTTTCTGGGAATTCACACGAAAACGTCCTAATGAGTCACCCATCTTGGGATTGCTCTCGCA